GTTGGAAGTGCGTGTGCGCTGATAGGGATAACGTGTAGGGTCGATCGCCGAGTAGATTCATCAGTTTCTTCACATCGCGCATCTCGGTCAACGGAATATGTAGGGATACAACGACAAGCTGATCTTTCGGCACAAAAGCAAGGTCGTTTCGAAGGAACGTCAACTGCCGTTCTCCCACCTCACTCAAGTAGCGAGGCTTGTTCTCCTCATCGCGGTGAAAGTACACATTGTCGATGGTGATGAAATGGACAGGTCCCCAATCAAATGAATAGCACGCGGGACCATAAACACGTTCGAATGTCTCATCGGCGTACCGGTCATCCGTAGCGAGAAAGTTCATATCATGGTTACCGTGGACGTTGTACCATGGTATTCCAACGGTAGCCATCACTTCGTTAAGTGGGTGGAATAAGCTTAAATCGTCACCTACCAAATCGCCAAGGCTGAGTCCGAACACTGCATCAATTCCAATAACTTCTTCAATCACATCATGTGCTAACCACTCAATCTCTTGCATATTATAGGGTTGTGTATCCCCGAAGACAAGTACCTTGAAGGTATCAGTCTCGGACTGCTCAGTGAGCGGAAAATCAACCGACTCCGGTAATGGCCGGTGGGTGCGATGCCGGCATACTTCAGTCCTTCTGGTGAACCCTGCGGTTTGTGAATGTAATAAAATCTCGGCAGACGATTTTCATCAACCGGTGTCATAAACCCGCGGGGCTTAATGACAAAGAGAATGGTATCATCACTGACTGCGAGCGAGTATTGCCCGTTGGCATCGGTTTTTACAACCTCCTGCCCATTAGAGACGCGAACCCCAGACAACCCCTTTTCGTTGTCGTCCTTCACTTGGTTTCTGTTTGTATCCAGAAATACAGTGCCAGTTGCGGTTGAATCTGCCGCTACACTGTTTCCAATCCAGTAAAAAATCAAGGTGACGATTAAAACCACAAAATTCCATTGCTTGTAAACCATACAAATCCCCTTTTGACACCAGCGCATTGGGTGGTGTTTTTTCTGATAGACCTAATATTGTAACATACCGGAGGTTACGAATCAATAACATTCCCGTGGCATTTTCGTAAATATCACCAGAGTGCTGCTATATTCCTAAAAAGCGAGTATGTGTGCCAAGGACAGTCCCTTCATTCCAATCCCCATTCCCGGCGGAGTTCCGCTATCGGTCTGTAACTCGCACCTTTGTTGTAAAAATTACCAAGCCAACTGCCGTCTTCCCGGAAAAAGAAGCGGTCATCCTTCTCTTCGCGAGCGAGTTGGTATCGCGTATCAATGCTGATACGATAGCAGTCAGAGCGATTGGGGGCACTGCTGTGCATCATGTAAAGCCCAAAAATAATAACGTCACCCGGCTGGAAATGCGCTGTTGCCAGCGTGAATCCAAATTTCTCAACCATCTCTCGCGGATCGGTACTGAACACGGCTTCGGTCAAATCTCGGTCCGTATCGGTCGCGCCATAGGTGGACTTTAATCGATCGTGCCGATGGGAACCGAGGCAGATAACGAGTGGTCCATTTTCCAAGCCGATGTCCGTCAATGCGCTCCACATCGTGTACCGGTTCTGTGTGCCGCGCCCAACGTAAACGCTATCGTAGTGAAAATGGTTGTGTCCACCCTTTGCCATGCAGCGAAGCCATCGTTTGTCGAACGTGATGACTGAGCCACCGAGGAATTCTTCGTAGAACTGCATCGTTCTCTGGCTATCCACAACATCAAGAATCGGTTTAGCATGAGCCACCTCAGTTTGCCGAAAGAAGCTAAATGTCTGATTCGCTTCGCCGATGATACCCTCTTCAATCGGAGTATCCGGCTCTAACCCACCGCTTTGCGCGATGGCTTGCAATGTCCAACGTGCAGCTTTCTCCGCATGCTCCTGCGGGTGGAAGCCTCGAATAAAGAGATATCCATCCCTACGCATTTTTCTGTGCAACGCACCGAGATTATTGAGAAGTGGGGTGGAATCTGCTAATTCGACGATCTCCTCCCCAAAATGAAAACGATGCTCACCGAATTCAAAGGGCGTTCCCGTTGAGATTTTTTTGGGTTTGTTCAATGTCATTATCTTCTCCGCCAAAACATAAACGCAATATATGCAAGAATTGGGTAGGACAACAATGCTGTTGACCAAGCGATTCCCTCTAACCCCCAATATTGCATGAAAAACCAATTGAGAAAGGGATTTAGATAAGTATGATAAGCGTTGCCGTGACAACGGTCCGATGGGCGGACGTACGAGATGTGCCCGGAATTCGAAGCGACTGATTAAACGCGAGGAAGAATTCCTAATAGATAGAGCCGAGCAGCGAAGCGTAGGGGACTGTCCTGCTGGACAATTCGCCGTGTCCATACAATTAGCGTGACAATTGTCCCACTCGAAAAAAGGTTTTAAAAGCCTATCAGAAACGGGACCATCAGGATGAGTAGCACACGACACTGGGCCAGAAACTCGCTGTAGCAGTGTTCCTGTAGGAGGGAACTCAGATTCACGACTGTTTTTTTTAAACGTTTCCCGGATTGCGAAGAGGGGACCATATCTTTGCCCAATGCGATAGAAGACTGGAAGCGTTACAACCCGTGAGGTTTCAGGGATTGAACCACACAGACGAGGCATGCAGTAATACCAATTTCGAGACGGAACTTGTCCCAATGAACTCGCCACGCGCTGTCAACGACAGGGTACCCAGTCTGAGATCGCTGGCGCCCATCATCAGTAGACATTGCTGCAGGAATGCGTCGTGTACGGTGTCGTCTGCCAACTGAGTAAGATGAATGCGCGGATAGATCAGAACGAGACTACAGCACCGTCGAAATAGCGAGCAAAGCAATATGGAAGAAAAGGCTCGCCGATGATCAGGGCAAGTGGTAGCTAAACCAGATCAGAGAGAACGGCTTGCACAGGTATATTACGCCGAGGACAAGATGAGCACGGAGTACCTGCACATGACCGGTAGATGAAAGCTGTTAGTAGGTGTCTAAGATGCCTTGAGCATCCAGCGGGCGGCGGCGATGATCGCGAGCAGAGAATCCACACACAATGCCGATGTCGTCGTAGAGGAGGGTAGCCCGCGTTTCGGTGTAAAAAAAGTGGGCAACAGCCCATGACACGAAGACGAGGACGCAGCAGAGTCCGGCTATGAAGTATGAGTATATTGGGAGAGGAAAAGGGATTGTTACACAGCGTGTGCCTCGGTTTCGCCTTTCGCGCGGGCTTCAGCTAACTAACATCGGGACCGAGGACAGAATAGGCGGGGAAAGCGGCACTGAGCAATTCTATCAGAATACGGCGATGGCCCCACAGTATAGTAGATAAAATCCATCTCTGCTGGTCGCCGAACAATTGGCCGAGAACGACCGTCAGTTGTAGATAAGCAATGTGCCAGCAGTCAATCAGACTCAGCGGTGTAATAATAAGTACGTTCTGAGGAGGGAGTGCTGGGACTGGGGTGCATGAGTGGACATGACGCGTTGAGGAAGGCCCGTACTTGAGATAGACGGAGTTATAGGTGCACTATAACTTCATCAGTTCGATTAGCAGAGAACCACCGAGCACCTACTCGCGCACCTGACCGTCTCGTAGATGATATACTTATAAGTCGTCAATCCTTCAAGTCCCATCGGACCACGGGAGTGGAGTAGTTCTGTGTGCTAATCCCGACTTCGGCACCTAATCCAAATTCATAGCGTCAGTGAAGACAGTGCTGGCATGACATAGACTGCGGCGGAATCCACCTCTTTGAGAAACCGTTGCGCCGCGCTGTAACTGTCAGTGATAATCGCATCGGAATGATGCGAACCGTAAGTTTCAATGTGGTCAATGGCTGTGCCTATATCATCTACCACTCGAACGGATTAAGATATAATCGAGGTATTCTGTCCGCCAATCTTCTTCGGTGTGCGGGTTTCGCTGCCGGATTAGATGTGCTGCGTTCGTTCGCATCCACGGATTTCAACATCCGCACCCTGTAACTTGTCACAGAGAATAGGAAGGAATTTCTCGGCAGCATCGGTATGGACAAGGAGTGTCTCTACGGCATTGCAGACAGCAACCTTGTAGCCAACTTTCGCATTATGCAGATCTTGGTTGCCATATCAAGGTCGGCGGCTGCGTCAACGTAGATATGACAGATGCCTCGGCATGTCCTAACACCGGGACATCGGATTCTTTCATCAAAAAACTGGACGAATTCGTTGCTACCGCGTGGAATGACGAGGTCAACGTAGTCTGGCAATCGGATGAGTTCATAGACCGCTTGCCGGTCGGTCGTGTTAACGAACTGGATGGCATCTGGCACGCCTTCTGCAGCAGCGGTATCGCTGAGGATATCCGCGAGTGTCGCGTTGGAGTTAATGGCTTCGGAGCCGCCTCGGAGGATAACCCCGTTTCCGGACTTGATGCAGAGTGCTGATACCTCAACAGTAAACGTCAGGGCGCGGATTCATACACCACAGCAACAACACCGATAGGCACACGGACTGTGCCAATTTGAGCCCATTGGGACGTTCCCCATACTGATGACGGCGCCGATTGGATCGGGGAGGGCAGCGACTTGACGGAGATTGTCCATCATCCGTTCAATCTTCTTGTCGTCCAACAGGAGGCGTTGCATGAGGGGTGCAGCGAGTCCGGTTTTTTCGCCGTTTTCGAGATCAATGCGATTTGCGTCCTGAATTTTATCTTTGGAATTCTGTAAGCTTTCAGCCATCGCTAAGAGAGCGTGGTTTCGGACATCGGCGGAACTTCGCGATAAAACGCGCATTGCCGATTTTGCCTTTTGCGCCTGCGATTGGATCAGTTTTTGAATGTTTCCGTTCATGGTATTCCTTTGAGAGGTCGCCATAAGTAGACGGTAATTGGAAATGCTGATTGTTACTATAACATAAGTTTTGGAAAATTTTCAATGGAATTGCACAGCCAAATTTTGTTGAAAAAAAAGTGCGAGCACGCGGCGAAGTTAGAAATATCCGTCGCACTGCCGGTCTATCTTCTGGGAGATTCGAGCGGTGCTTCCAGATCAAAGACGTACTTTGCATCGTAGGGGATGTTGAAACGTTTCAAAAACTCAAGATATTCCTCATGAAAGGTCTGCCGAGAATGATGTTCTTCCTGATTCTCAATGTAAGCGGCGACGGTATTTAACTGAGAGCGGGAATAACTGAACGCGCCAAAACCTTCCTGCCATTGAAATTTGCCGGCGATCCAGCCCTGCCGATTTATGAATCGGGTGCTGCCGATTTTGATAGACTGCACCAGGTCTGAGAGCGCGATACCCGGTGTCATTCCGATGAGGATATGGATGTGATCCGGCATTGAGTTGATTTGAATAACCTTTTGTTTTCGCTTTGTGATGATGCCGGTGATATATTGGTGGAGTTCTGTCTTGTGGCGTTTAGGTATCAGGGCATGTCTCGCTTTAACGGAAAATACGATATGAACGTAAAGTTGGATGTAAGTGTTTGCCATTGATATTTGCCTCTTTTGTGTGTTTCGATTTTTGTGTTTTCAGGTTTTATAGATAGGTAACTCCTAACGGAGTAAAAGAGACACAGGGCACTTTATTCTACAAACAGGTTCTGCCTAACGGCAGAAAATATAATGCCCGTGGTTGTTCGAGCGGAGCTACCTGTTTCGGTCCACAGACAGGTTCTGTCTCACGGAAACCGAGAATACAATGCACATCCTTGCTCCAGCGGAGCAAAATGTCTGTAGATACACCAACATACCATCCTGAGTTGCTCCAGCGGAGCTACCTATTTCGGTCCACAGATAGGTTCTGCCTGATGGCAGAAAGTACAATGTGCCTCCTTGCTCCAGCGGGGCAAAATGTCTATAGGTTATTTCACCGTTCGGCAGATGAGCGAAATCAGTCGAGTAATACCAAATTATCTCGATGTATGATTTCATCGTAATCGCGGTAGCCGAGAATATTCTCAATGTGCTTGGTGTGTTTTCCTGCGAGTTTGGCAGTCTCCACGGCATTATAGTTCACCAAACCGCGTGCGAATTCCGTGCCGTTTTCGGTGAGGCACGAGACGGTATCGCTATAGTCAAAATCACCTTCAACGCGTCGGATGCCAGCAGGGAGTAGGCTTTTACCACCTTGCACGAGCGCGTCCCGTGCGCCGTTATCCACAAAGAGGCTGCCTTTAGGCGGACGTGAATAGGCGATCCACCGTTTCCTTCCAGAGATACGGGAATTTGGAAGGAATAACGTTCCGAGAAGCTCACCTTTCAAGAGCCTTGTTACGACAAGCGGTTCCTGTCCGTGTGCCAGCACCATCATCTCTCCGGATCCGGTGACGATATCAGCGGCTTGCAATTTCGTCACCATCCCGCCAGTGCCGCTTGTTGTGCCAGCTTGCCCGGCGGCTTTCCAGATGTCCTCTGAGATGGTCGTAACAGTGTATATCAATTCCGAGTTAGGGTCGTGTCTGGGGTCTGCGGTGTAGAATCCCGCCTGATCTGAAAGGATGACGAGGAGTTGCGCTTGGGCGAGGTTTGTTACGTAAGCAGAGAGAGTATCGTTATCACCAACCCGAATCTCGTCCACCGCGACGGTATCGTTTTCATTGATAATCGGAATCACGCCGAGATGTAGGAGGGCACGCATTGTGTCGTTCATGCGGGTGTAGCGTTCCCGATTAGAGAAATCGTCGCGTGTGAGGAGCATGAGTGCTGCCTGTTGTCCATAGTTGCGAAATAGCTTCTCGTAGACTGCCATCAACTGGATCTGTCCAACGGCGGCGAGCGGCTTGTAAGCGCGGTAGCGTCTGCGGACGTTGTTTCAAACCGAGTCGGGGCCAACCCGCGGCGATTGCCCCAGATGTGACAAGGATAACCTCCACACCGTCCTGTTTAACGAGTGCTAAATCGTGGACGAGCCCATGGAGTGCATCTTCGTTGAGGTGTGCGCCTTTCGAAATGGTACTGCTGCCAACTTTTACGACAACGCGTTTCACGTCTGACAAATAGGTGCGCTGTTCAGCGGGATTGTATTGATCGTGGGCTATAGGTGAACTCAAATTCATCAATCTGGATGGTGTCTCCTTCCACTGCACCTGCGCGTTCCAGTGCGTTAATCACTCCCATCTTTTTCAACTTCCGGTACAGTAGAATCAGTGCTTGCTCGTTTTCCATGTGGGTCATGAGGACAGCGCGGCGAGGTTCTTCACCGCTGACAACAAACCCGTCCTGTGTCTCAGCAAGTTCAAACCGTGCGCGCGGCTCCGATGGAAGTTCCTGCTCAAAGACAATCGCCGTCTCCGCTTCCTTTCGGGCACGCGTTTCAAGGTACTGCAAGGAACGGTACGCTTGATGCATAAGCGGGTTCACACCCTCACCTGTAACCGCAGAGATAGGGAAGACTTTCCGGTTACCGAAATATTTTTGGACACGTTCCAAATTCGCCTCAGCGTCTGGCATATCTATCTTATTCAGAGCAATGATTTGCGGGAGTTTTGTCAACAGTTCGTTGTAATGCCCCAGTTCAAGGTTGAGTTGTTCGTAGTCCTGAATCGGATCCCGTCCATCGGTCGCGCTCAGATCGATGACATGAATCAGCATCTTGGTGCGCTCAATGTGCCGCAGGAATCGATGTCCCAAGCCTGCACCTTTGTGTGCGCCTTCTATCAACCCAGGGATGTCGGCGATGACGAAATTCTGCTCCCGATTGATGCGGACAACCCCTAAATTCGGACGGAGTGTGGTGAACGGATAGGCGGCGATTTTCGGAGTCGCGGCAGAGGTTCGCGCCAGCAGTGTCGATTTACCGGCGTTCGGATAGCCGACCAACCCGATATCAGCGATGAGTTTGACTTCGAGGCTTATTTCGCGTTCTTCCCCTGGTTCCCCTTTTTCTGCAACGCGTGGTGCCTGAAAGATGCTGCTTTTAAAACAAGCATTGCCCTTACCTCCAATTCCGCCACGTGCGACAACAACGGTTTCATCAGGCTCTGTCAGATCTGCAAGCACCTCGGCTGTGTCAAGATTTCTGATGATGGTGCCGGCAGGAACTTTAACAACGCAATCTGCGCCATCGGCACCGTCTCGCCGCTTGCCGATGCCGTGTCCACCGTTTTCAGCGACCTGACGTGGGTTATGACGCAAATCGATCAGCGTACTCATCCCAAGGGTAGCGACAAAGAGAACGTTTCCGCCGTTACCGCCGTCCCCGCCATCGGGACCGCCGTAAGGGACATATTTCTCTCGGCGGAAACTGATGCATCCGTTCCCGCCATCGCCTGCTTTGACCTGAATTCTTGCTGTATCCATATATGCCACATTTCAGAGAATGGAGTCTTACGCTGATTGCCTACTGTGTTAACCAAAACATCTTGGCACTGTAATACGCTTAGATATGAACCGCTCTCTATTAATTATACCCAACTCTGCAGCGGTTTGCAACTTCATCTCAATCATTTTAGCAGAGTTATTCAGTTATCGGTTTTAGGACTTACGCAGACAGGCGATAAATCGCCTTACTACAAACAGTTGGATCTTGGAAGGACATGTGTTTCTCAAAAGCAGTATGGTTCGTAGTAGCGCAATTCATTGCGCGTTGCGTAAGTCCTGGGTTTTTTAGCGATTTCGTTTGAAAAGTCGCGACCGGGAGGTCGTTCCTACAATAGCGATCAGCCATCAGCAGTCAGCGGTCAGCAGAAAAGAGGATTTAGGTTGGAAGCGAGGCTATGTCAGCCGCTGATAGTTTCCGAGAGGTGGCATAGCCGCCGCCCTGATAACCGAAAACTAATATTCGTCGGGATTTGGATTCTACGAGTACTCACCCAAATTGACACAGATGTCACCCCTACGGGGTTCAAAATAATCGAAGGAACCTTTTTTCTACAGAGATGCCGCCCCTACGGGGCTACTGCGACTTTCTTAGGTTCCGTTCAACCCTTCCGAATGCTATACCCGCGTTCAGCGTTGATTCACTACGCGCTATCCGTTTTTGAAAATCAAGCGTCGCGACGGGAGGTCGTTCCTACAGAAGAGGGAGTCGGGATCGGCGATCCTCCTATGTGATCCCAGGGGCATTTACAGGAAAAAATACAATTGTTTATAGATCAAAAGATTGGCGGGGTTACTTGAAGAAACGCCCAAGCAAAAACACCCCGCCAGCGATATATTTTCAGGTTTTAGGAGAGTTGGGTTTCACTTTCGTTCAGCCCAACCTACATTCCTACTAAAGTACTACCTTACTAAGAGGCTGTGTTTTGCGAGCGGTAGTTATTCGGAGTCAAGTGGTCTGGAAGCCGTGAAGTTGCGTATGGTTGAGAGAGGTCTCTTATTACTTAAACCCGTTACCCTGATCTGTATCATATGCGAAGGAGTTCCATCTCTATCGTCTGCCGCAGTTGAAACAAAGAACTGAATGGATTCGCCATCGGGGCCGCTGGTTTGTGCTATAGATGTATTGGGGCCTATATCTGGGTGACGTATGCCATCCACATAGACCTCGACCGTAAATCCGCTAGTCCAAAAGTGTTAAGTCCAAGATTCCATCAGCGGGGAACTGGATCATGATAGTATATCCATACTAACCATCCTACTCTATGACTTGATCACCATACTCCATCCAGACGGAAAACTCGGTGTGTATCCATGGACCTCATTTTACTAGGGGCGCGGCTCTGTACATTGTCGTCAGTGTTGTCAGTGCCGTCAGTGTTGTCAGTGCCGTCAGTGTTGTCAGTGCCGTCAGCATGTTGTCAGTGCCGTCAGGTTGTCAGAGCCCCCACTTAACACCGCCGTAAGAGTAAACAGTGCCGTCAGTGTCCCCATTGCCGTCAGTTGTTCAGTGCCGTCAGTGTTCCAGTGCCGTCAGTGGCTCCGCCGTTGTTGCCGCCCACGCCTGAGAGAGTCGAAACCGCCGTTGTGCCAGCACCCAGCCACAAACCACATTGTTGCCACCCCCTGCATTACCTTGTTGTGCCGCTAAACAGTGCTAAGAGCTAGGAGGTGTCCTTTGCTCTCGACTCGCAGAATAAGTTTTTCTTCATAATAAAGAAATCGTAAAACAATACTGTTTCATGAATGTGGATGATGGGGACGTTTACACCAGGGTTTCCTGGACCTTGTGTCCTCTGATCACTGCGGTCCTTGGGGTCTTGGGGTCCGTGGGGGCACTCTGGGTCTTGGGCTCCGGAATAATCTACGCAAATGAATCAAACCCGACAAGCAAGCACAGGAATTGTCCTCACACACTGAGTGACCCAGATACCGGTCTACATCATCAACCGTTAGTATGGGACCTGTTAAAGGGAGCTCACACCACTGAAGCAAGGACACTATAAAAATTGCGATGACCAATTTTTTCATCAATTACATCATTCTCTATTTTATGTAGATTTTAGAATTAATTGGAAATTAAGCATTGGCGAGTTAGCAATGCAGATCCGCATGAACAACGCCGAAGGCGCGTTTGGCAATCGTCGGGTCGAGTACGCCGCCAAAAACCTCGCCAGAACGTAGCAGAGTATTTTGTGATACTTATTTTAGGCTTTACCATAGTTAACGTCCGTTCGACTTAAAACATTTGGCGTATGTGAAAGTTCGTTGTTTTTATAGAGGAATCACTTGGAAAGTAGAAGTTAATTGGAGTTAAGCTATATCTGACCACCTATAATTGTGAATAATTGCCTTATGGTTGGTGGAAAAAATAAAACCGATGACGCTAATAACCATTCATTTAATTCGTTGTGAAACGAAAGAAGAATTGGAACATGCATACCTCGACGGGAACACCTTTGGTTTGTTCCAACACTCCTTAATACGGGATTTTATTACCATTCTCATCTTTCTATAAGATGTCGTAAGTTGTACACAAAGCATTTTCATCTCTGTGTGTAATGTGACCTGAAGTCCGGTGTCCACATTAAAATTTGTCCGCACCACGGGTGTGGTCGTGTCCACACTCAGTCACCATTTCGATCTTTTGGTGGCTTATCACACCGATCCACCCTGACATTCTTTCGGTATCGACAGAACTGGCATGTATGTTGGCACACGTCGGATCATCGTGTTGCCGTCTGCTCTTGTGCGTAATGATATATATCTGGGTGCCTCCACTGCTCTGCGCGCAGAACAGTCTGTCTCTAAAGAAATCGTAAAGGATAATGTTTTATGAATGTGGATGATGGAGCGTTACACCGGGTGGTTCCCAGGCGTCCCCTGGGTATTGGGGTCACTGTGGCCTTGGGGTCACTGTGTTCATGGGGGCATCTGGTTCATTGGGGTACCGAGTAAGCATTACGAAGAGAGAAGTCAAGTCCGTCTGCATGGCAGACAGCGTCACTCACCGTCGAGTAAAGATACCGGTCTAACTAATCAACCGTTAGCATGGGCCTGTATATGGATCTCACATCCCAATTGACAGCAGAGAAACATAAAAAATTGCAATAAAGCAAATTTTTTCTCAATTACCTCCATCTTATTTTAGTATCTTATGGAGACACGACCGCTGCACTTAAAAAAAATGAGTGATTGTAAAGCAGCCGTTTAACCCTAAGGAATACAACAGTGCCTTTCAATCGTTAGCCAATTGAATATTATTCAAAAACTTAAAAACCAACTGCGGTTTACGCCTCTGTGAGATTTGCTGGCGGTAACGCGCGAGG